GTGTCCAACAGGCATGCTGACTATTATGTTGAGACCTGGCCTAGGCCTACAGGGAGCCAAAGGGTGTCTGGGCCCCCAACTTGCCTTCATGGGAGGGTCAAAAGACCCTGGAAGGTCAAGAGTTGTATGGCAAGAAGTTGTCTCAGACAGAGGTAGCAGAATTGGGGAGTTATTAAAGGGGGCTTGCTTTTATGTTTGAATTTTTCATGATAAACATGTAATTCACCTATTGTGAAGTTAAAAATATATTTAAATAAATGAAAAAGTTAGTGAAGCAGCAGGGGAAAGTTGAGAAAAGTCATGGGTTGGACTCTCCAAGCAACACAGCTTCCAAGACTCCACGGGCTGCCAGGCTGCAGCTTTCCAGGCCTTGGCTGATGGCCTGGAGATGCAGGGCAGTCCCCAGCCTTCAGCCTTGGGCCAAAAATCCTGAGCCACAGCGGTGGAGGAGGGGAGGTGGGTGTGAGTATGGTGGGGGAAGACTGTTTGCCTTCGCAGTCGGCAGCACCTCCCCACCTCTGCGCCTTCCTCAGGAGAGACTCATTATGCAGTATGGTTACATGCCCTGTGCATTTTAATGAATGAGTCAGGGGCCAGACTCAATCTGAAAGAGGAATCGCTTCTCTCGCTTGGGTGAAGGGCTCTCAGGGGATATGCTTGCAGCATGGCTAGTACATGAAAAAGGAAAGGAAGCTATTTCCTCTTGAGAAAAACAAAACAAGGCCTGCAAAAGAAGGTCAAAAGGTAGAAAGGAAGAGGTGAAGGAAGGAAGGGAGGGAGAACGGGACAGAGAGAACAGCCTAGAGTTCAGAACACAGTCCTGGAACAGATGCTCCCTGCCAGACACTCCCTTGACCCTTTACCCTCTGCTTATTTACTCCAAACATTTAGTGCTTCTTAAGCACCAGGCACCACAGCAGGCATGGAAGTTACCAGACAAATGAGGCGAAGTCCTCCCCAGAAAGGAGTTGCATAACAAACCAGTTTGGTTTCCTCGGAGTAACTCTGATAGGGGTCTAATCCAGGAGGTGGGGTAGGCCAGTGGAGGCGATGCTCACACCTCCCACCCTCCCTGAGAGTACACACAGCAGGAAGGTGGGCGGCCCCCCACTGAAGGGCAAGGACGACTGTCTCTCAAGCACCTCCTAGGCAGAGGGGCGGTTCCACAGTTCGTATCTCATTGAATCCAGGCAATAACCCCATGAGACAGATCCTGTTACTGTCACATTTTTTATAGATGAGGAAACTGAAGCAGAGAGCAGCTTGCCCAAGGTCACCCAGGGATTTGAACTCAGGTCTGTCTGACTTCAGAGCTCTTGGCAGCTTGCTTCAGTGCTGTCAGCCAACCACTGGATGGGGAGTGCTGGAGAAGGCCTTTCCCTTTCCAGGCTTCCTTCCAAGAACACTCTGAACCCCCAGGAGGAGGAGGCTGGTGTGGATCCAGACGCAGTCTGCGCCAGCCAGACTGGGAGCGGATCTGAAACCTCACTGAATGGGGCCGTGTGAGACTGAGCCCAAGGACGGTGGGGAGAGGCAGGAAGCTCAGCTGCACAGTGGTCAGCTGGGGCTGCGAGCCTGTTCCCGGACTCCACCCCACAAAACACAGGGCAGCAGATGCTTAGCAAATGGGTGTGTGGGAGTGAGACATACCCTTAGATGGCAGGCGGGCTGGCAGTGTCACCAAATTACTCAACAAAGCCACCTCGGCTTTGAACTTTGAGCCAGGTACTGCAGGAACAGGGCATGGTGGTGCTGCAGGGACAGGTGAAGAGGATGTCTGCCATCCTTCTGCTCCCCAAGTGGGAGGACACAACCTGGGAAGAAGCCAGGAACTGGAAAGCCATTGTACACCTATATTCTCATGAAGTTTTCAGCTGGAGGGAAAGAGGGATACACAAGCACCCAGGGCTCACGGGTCCTGGGAGGCTTCATGCCAGACAGAGAGAAAAGCAAGGCCATGTGCCATGGCCCACACTGTGCATGGAAAAAGCCGGCTTTTACTGAGTGATTACTACATGCAGGGCTGTTGTACACATTACACTTTGAATTCCCTCTGCCTCCTTGTGAGGAAGGTAATGTTTTTATGCCCATTTTACTCAAGAAGAGACAGACGTTCAGGGAGATTGGAAACCTGCCAAGGTCACATGTTTTCCCCACTTCTGGTTTCCATGAGGAGGGACTTCCCCTAAACACTCTTTGGTCTTTACTCTCACTGCCTGTGGCAACCTAATGATTTGTTTGATGGGAAAACTTGGGAAGGCTAAAGGCAGTCATCTGCTCCGTTCCAGCCTTCTTGCAGGTTCAGTTAGGAAGCCAATTTGGTCTCACACTAAGCTGTATCTTCCATGCTAGCTTTAGTGATAACTAAGGTGGTACTTTGGTTCTCTGCCATTCATTTGTCTTTTTAGTCAATGTGTTCAGAAACCTGGATGCAGAAGAGGGGTACTGTTTCGTGGAAGGCTCCTTGGAGATCCCAACAACACTCAGGAGGATCCCGAGCACTCTGGCCAAACCACCCCCATTTGACCAGGGGACTCTGCTCTCCTGCTACATCTTGGCAAAGGACACTCTTGGCTCCAGGACCAATTTTCCTTGGGAGAAGTTAGCCCTGAAATTAGTACTGCCTCCTCCTTCCTCCCCACCTCCCCCAAAACTTTTTTTCTGGACTGGCATTTTTTTCTGGGACAAGAAAAATCAAGTCTTGTACCAGCTTCTCAGTGTAAAGGGAACCAGCCATGAGAGGGGTGACAGTGTCTTAGCCAGCTCTTCCCCTTGCCACCTGCCAGGACATCAACAGTGGGTACTTGACCTACCCAGCAGCTACCAGTCTAGACATCTTATGCATAGCAAACCCAGGAAGCTGGCAAAAACCCCATGTTAGGCCCTGATTAAACCCATACCCTGTATATCTCAGTTCCCTTTCCAGTGGACCTACCAGGCAATTCAGAGCTAGTTATGTCTCCGTGGGACTATAGGTCAACATCCATATGACCTTGCTGTGTGACTGTGGGCAAAGTCTTCACCTGCTCTGTGCTTTGATTTAATTACCTATAAAACGGGAAGATAATACCTGTACTCCTGTCTCACAGGACTGTTATGAGATCAATTATGTAGAACTTACTTGAAAAGGTATAAAAAATGCTTCATGACATAGAAGGGAATTACCATTTTATGAGCTTCTATAACATACCCCCCAGATTTACTAAGCATATCATGATCAGTTTCAGTTTTCTCAGGAGTACTGACCAACCTTCATTCTGGGTAACCATGCCCAACCCCCCTTTGCAGTCTCTAAGGACCCACCCCTTACCCCACCATCTCAGTCCACACGGATCCAGGGACACTGCCTAAGCACGGTAAGTTCATCTCATTCTCCTTCACCACAGGGACTGCTTTCAAGGGATAGTCATGTGACCTAAACAGGTTAATCGAGGCATTTGCTAGGACTTTTGGAAAAGAGATTCTCTGTAGAGATCCTAAGAGGATACAGGGGCTGAGATTTATGCTGTCATTTTGTTACCATCTCAACTCCAAACCAAGCCATGTCCACTTGTGATGTCATGATGTATAATAAGAAATATATATTTGGCCTTCATCCACCACAATTCCTAGCTTACAGTTCCTAAAACCCTTGGAAGTTCCTAAGTGATGAGAGCAATAAAAGTGTTTCATTACGTTAATGAAGTGACTTTTGGAAAGTACCTAAGGATGGGGGCTGGTTGCCAGGAGAACTAATCATGTAATCAGAGGGTTGTAACTTTCAGTCCCACTCCCTGACCTGGAGGGAGAATAGAGGGGCTGGAGGGTGATCACCCATGGTCAGTGATTAGTCAATCATGCCTATGTAATGAAGCCTCCATAAATACCCAAAACACCAAAAAGTCTACTGTTTGGGGAGAGCTTCTGGGATGGTGAGCATGTGGAGATTTAGGGAGAGAATCCTGCTCGGAGAGAGCATGGAAACTCCAAGCTCTTTTGTTGCCCTATGCATCTCTTCCATCTGGCTGTTCCTGAGTTCTATTCTTTTGTAATAAACTAGTATCAATACCAAAAAAACCAATAAGCCTGATTAAAAAATGGGCAGAGGACCTGAACAAGACATTTCTCCAAAGAAGAAATACAAATGGCCAACAGGCACATGAAAAGATGCTCCACATCACTAACCATCAGGGAAATGAAAATCAAAACAACAGTGAGATATCACCTCACACCAGTCAGAATGGCCACTATCCAAAAGACAAGAAGTAACAAGTGTTGGCAGGATGTGGAGAAAAGGGAACCCTACTGCACTGTTGGTGGGAATGTAAATTGGTGTAGCCACTATGGAAAGCAGTATGGAGGTTCCTCAAGAAACTACAAATAGAAATACCCTATGACCCAGTAATTGCACTTCTAGGAATTTACCAGAAGACAAGAAAATATGATTCATAAAGATATATGCACCCCGATGTTTGTTGCTGCTTTATTTACAATAGCTAAGATATGGAGGCAAACAAATTGTCATTCAATAGATGAACGGATAAAACAGATAATGGTACATATACACAATGGAATATTATTCAGCCTTAAAAAAGAAATCCTGCTACTTGCGGTAACATGGATGGACCTAGAGGGTATTATGCTAAGTGAAATAAGCCAGGCAGAGAAAGACAAAGACCATATGACTTCACTTATAAGTGGAATCTAAAAACAAAACAAAAAAAACGAACAAAACATCAGTAGACCCATAGACACTGAGAAGTGACTGGTGGTTACCATGGGGGTAAATGAGGGGGACAAAGGGGCACAAAATTCTCAGTCATAATAAAAGTTGGTCATGGGGATGGAAATACAGCATGGAGAATATAGTCAATGATTTTGTAACATTTTCCTAGGTTGACAGATAGTGACTATACTAGTTGGGGTGAGGACTTAATAAGGTGTGTAACTGTTGAACTGCTGTGTTGTATACTTAAAATCAATACAATATTGTGTATCAATTATACTTAAATAAAAAAACACACTTAAAAATATAGTAAACCAGTAATCTAGTAAGTAAAATGTTTCTCTGAGTTCTGTGAGCTGCTCTAGCAAATTAATCAAACCCAGGGAGAAGGTTGGGGGAACCTCAGAGTTATAGCTGATTGGCTAGAAGCACAGGTGACAATCTGGACTTGAGATTGGCATTGGGGTGGGGTCCAGTCTTGTGGGACTGAGCCCTTAACTTGCAGGCTCTAGCACTATTTCCAGGTATATAGCGTCAGCATTGAGTTGAATTCTAAGACACCCAGCTGGGGTCTTGGAAAATTCCTTGGTGGTATGGGGAAAACCTCCCCAACATACATGTTTGAGCCCTTAACTTGCAGGCTCTAGCACTATTTCCAGGTATATAGCGTCAGCATTGAGTTGAATTCTAAGACACCCAGCTGGGGTCTTGGAAAATTCCTTGGTGGTATGGGGAAAACCTCCCCAACATACATGTTGGAAATTGGTGCAGAACCCTATTACCACCCGTAGACTTTTCAGCTTCAAGTGAGTCTCAAATTCTTTTTTTTTCGCTCAAAGCCATCTTGGGTTCGATTTTTCTGTCCTTGCTACCAAGATGATCTTAATGGATATAGCATTATCTCACTTAATCTTGAATTTGAACCAGGTCTCCTGGTCTCTGGGCCTGCTTTCTCTCCACTCCACAAGGAATTGAGGACAGACTGAATCTCGTACTCATGGCTCCATCACATACTTCACTCAGCAGGAGAGCATCTGCTGGGAGAGGAAGAGCCCTGATTCTCCCACAGCCAGTGTCTGAGGAAGGACATAATTCACCGGTGTTCTTGGCCCCATGTGCCCTTGTCCTAGAAGAAAAGCACCAGTAGGAGGAGGAGCACGTCAGTTCCTGTAGGGCTTAAGCTTTATGTCAAGGGCCTGGAGGGCTTGAAATGGCCCAGTATCTTCTTCTCCTTCCAGGTACTGATGCTCCAGTGTCCACCTTTTAGAGTTCCGATCTGTGAAGATATCGGAGTTTGGTAAAATGCAAATACATCTCAGTCCTCCCAGGACTTACAACCTGTGCTGCTGTCAATCATGGCAGTTTTGTAGGACTAATGGCTTTGAGAGGGGTTTAGGGAACCAGGGGTACGGTGGTGGTGGTAGATGTACTAGGGAAGGGGAAGGGGTACTGAAAGGGACATGTAAGGACTGAGTAAGTTCCAATTGGTTGAGGGTGTAAGTCAGCCATATTAAGTTTGATAATGGGATAAAATAATACAATACCTCTCAGTTATCACCTGTATTTGCTTCAGAATAACATGGGGATATGGCAAGTGGGTGGAGATAGAGAAGAAATAAGATTGGCCATGCATTGATCACTGTGGACCCTAGGTGATGGGTGTATGAGGGTTATTCTGTCTACTTGAGCATATGTTTGAAATTTTCCACAGTAATGTTTTAAAGTATAATGAATAATTTTTAAAACATGTTCTATGTTTATTCTTTGCAAAGTTCTTTAATTACATCTTGTATGTACCTCACAAATGATTTTTCCCATTTAAAAAATGGTGAAACTGAGGCTCAAAGAGCTAAGTCAAGTAGGCAGGTGGCATTGAGAGGTGAACTTGAGCCTTCCAACTCCTGCATTCCACGGTTGGGGCAGGGGTCAGGAAAGGCAAGTTGGGCTGTCCATCCTTGATGGGGCTGACAGGCAGGGACAGATACCAGTCTTGCCTGAAGGCAGCCCAGCCTGTGTCTAACTGGTGCAGCACAGGGCATAGACCCCTTCAGGGCCTCAGGGAGCCACTGGGCAGGCAGTGGAAAGCTCCCAGCCACTGATTTCACATGCCCCTTGGTGGTTAAAAAAACAAAGTCTCACACAGCAGGCTCTGAGCCCTTTTGTGGGCATCCTGAGAACTGTTGCCTGAACATCTGGGTCTGATAAAGGGAGCCCCGCATGGGCTTTCCTGCCCCCTTTCCCATAATTATTTCCACACTTACCCTTGAAGCTCTGTGCGTGTGGCTGTTCTTTTCTTCTCTTTTCTCCCAAACATATGGATTCCCAGCCCCTATTTCAAACTCAAATGCTCCTCTGCTATAAACTCCCCAAAGCTCTCAATTTCCTTTTTCCATTGCTCATTCTTTCCTAAAGTGCATGAAAAAGCCTCTCTTAGCTCTGTTCCAATTTCCTTGTTTATGAAAGAAGGGCAAGGAGAACAGTGATTTCAGTGATCAAGGTTAAGCAAGACCTGAACCTTCTTCAGGAGAACAAACCTCAATAACCTGGGAGATCAAAGCTTACCAAGTACAAGAACAAATCACAGGAAAGCCCTGATTCCCCACCCCCACCCAAATCCTTCTCCTGCAGGAGGCTTGATACAGTGCCATCTGCTCCCTTTAGCTGGCTGAAATGTCCTTTTTGAAAGTCATTAATGGAATAGAAAAAGAAAAGTCCTGGCTGGCATGATTCCCAGAAGGTTACTGCCTGAGTGGGAGTGTGTTATCAGGGAAAGGAGGAACAAGTCCTTGCCTGCTCCTGAGCCCATGGCCCTGTATTTCTTCATGATAATGAATGGCACCTCACCCTTTAAAGGCAGAAAGAGCCTATCCCTCGGCACTGAGATTCTGTACAAATCTGCATCGGCTGGGAGCAGGGAGGAAAGGGGGTTCAGTGCATCCTCCATGGCCTAGGGGACAGAAGGTCCTCTCCCAGGCAGAGGTCACAGACCCTCAGGTGCCTTCAGGGCCCAGCAAGTAACATAAATGGCCTGGCTGGTAAGATGATAAGAGGCAGCTGACACTGGTCTCAGCCTCCAGGAACAATGGGTGGCAGTAGCTGGGACTGGAGATAACAAGCCCTCTCTGACAAGGACAGCAGCTGTTCACCTCTGGCTGGTTATAGTGAAAGAATGTGAACCCTGTGTTGTCAGGTCATCCATATTTCCGAGGTGGAGATCTGGATTTTACATGAAGTCTCCTAATTCAGGAGCAGATTTAAATGAAAAATATTGCAAAGGCTGACATGAGCTAAATAAAACCTGTCTAGCAGTCCAGCTGAACCTGAGCACCTCCAGTTAGCAATCTGACCCAGGAAGTGGGTCCTGTCCATGTGCAGTGTGGCGGGCAGTGCTGGGAAGAGAGGCTGGCGCGGGTCAGATGAAGCCACGCGGTGAAAGTGCACTTGTCTGGCGTGCTAAGGAAGGACTGTTCGTCCCAGGGCTCATGAAACACGTTCAGGCTCCTGCCACTCTGTCACGCTGTACCTGCTGCCAACTGGATCCTTACCAATCACCCTCCCACCCCCTTCAGAAATTCTCCTCCTCTCCTTCTCTCACAGTTCATGTGGCCAGTTCCAAACTCTTTCCTTGGCTAAGGCAAGCTGTCACTTCTTCAGCCTCTGACCATATTCAAGTCAGCCTTAGAAACAACTTAAAACTCACTGACGCCCTCCTTCCTCTCATACTTCACAAAATCATGATCGGTAACAAGATGTACCTAAGGAGCTTTTTCCCCTTAAAAAAGATATTGTGCTTAGAGTACAGTTTCTGTTCCTTATCTCCATGAGAGACAAGAGGGAAACTGAGGCACAGAGTTGGGAGTTATTTGCCAAAGACACATTTATTTGGTAGGACTCCAAAGAGCTGACAGAACCATGCACTAAGCTACTTTTGAAAGTTAAGGCATCTTCCTGAGTTTTCCATAATAAAGTAGAATTTCCTTGCAATGGGATGGTACAGTAATCTAGAGTACAGAGAAAGAGGAGGAAAGATGTTGGGCAAAGCTCTGACTGTTAATCAGATCTCTTTCCCTGGCATTACCTCTACTCTGTCAGTTAGGTCCTTGTATTCTTGCAATTCCCTCTATATAGGGAATGAGAAAAATGAGTGGGAGGAGATTACAAGAAGAGACATTTCAGAGAAAGGTAAAGTACACTGCACAAGTGATTGCCTGCAGCAGAGTGTATGCATGAGTCTCTGGTTGTGTATGTATTTGCATGCGTAGTTTGTATGCAAGCCATTTTGGCAGAAGGAGAAGTGTAGTTTCTACACTTCAGCAAATGCAACACCCTCCCCTAAGATAACCTTCATGACTCCAGTCTCTCTCTCATCTCCGCCCACACTATGGCTATTCATTTAATCAATATATGTGCATTTATTGAGCACCTTCTCGGTATCTGGCACTGTGATATACACTGAGGTTACATCAGTGAACAAGAATGACACAGTCCTCATCCTCAGGGGGCCCACAGTTTAGGAGGGAGGCAAATGAACGAGACTGAAATTCAGTGGGGTGTCCCTCAGATAGGGGAAGTGAAGAAGGAGAGGGCAAGGAGGAGGAAGCTTAACATGCAAGGCAGAAGGGAGGAGTCGGGGAACGTATTCTGGAAGACATGAAGTCTAGCTGAGATCTGAAGAATGAGCTGAATTGGACAAGGAAAAAGGAAGGTGAGTGTTTGAGGCAGAGGACACAGCATGGGCAAAGGATCTGGAGGTTGGATTCTCCCTTGCACCTGATGGAAATCTGCTGTTTGAGCTAAGGCAAGTTCAGTCCTGGGGAGAGTTTCAGGGGTTCTGGAGCCAAGTATGGGACGAGCATGGCAGTAGCCAAGGCCAAGAACTTCGGTAATTATTGTTCTCAGATTTAAACTGCTCACTTAAAAGCAGTGAAAGTGCTTTCCTGTCTTTAGGGTACTCGGAATATAGGATGGAGAACTCAGGGTTCAGAGGACACTGTGGAATATGGCCCCTCATCTTGATAAAGGAAATAAAAATTAAAGGTCAAGCACAGAATCTGAGACAAAATGCCTTTTAAATTCCAATTTACAGAGGACAAAGGACATTCACATTTTTGTTCTCTTCCTCAAACTCCCTGTCTGTCTCACACACACACGCTCTCACTTGGTGAGCTAGGCCTTAGAGTAAGTACTAGGTTTTGTCATATTATTTTTGATAGAGGAGGAAACTGAGACTCAGAGAGGAAGAGTATCCAAGGTTATGGGCTCAGTCATTCACTCATTGACCCAACGACCAGTAACAGAGCACCTGCTTTCAGCAGGCTTCTGCAGGACGAGTATGGGGGTGAATAACACAGATATTCCCCACTCAGAGCAGAGAGATTCAAACCGATTGCTTCCAATTCCTATCCCGGTGCCCTTTCCAATGCCCTGAACTGTAGGCTGGATATGTTGTTTCTGCTGTAGTCCTCCAGTGGGTGTTACTGGCCCCCGGTCTTGTCAGCACTAGACCATCCCGCCCTGCCCCGGGCCCCAAACATACCATCAAAGGAAAAACAGCTTAGCTGTGATGCAAATATACCTTCAAGGCAAGGTGCAGACCCAGATTTTCCCTGTAAATCCCTCCCAGATAGAAAGCGTGCCCACCAGAGGTTGTCCTGGCCCCAGATGTCCTTGAGTCATGGGGAAATTTCCTATTTCACCTCCACCCCCAGTACTAGCCTAAAGCGAATGCTTTTAAACCTTCACCTTTTGCAAGTCTTCCCTTTAAACACTGTCATGATAGCAGGGGTGGGATAAAGGGTCTTTCAAAGCAAAAAGGGGAAAGTTGAGGAGGAGGAGAAAGCAGGGAGTGAGCAAGAGAAAGGGAGCCAGCAGACCCACTTGGCAGCCTGCACAATTCTGCTAGGAGCCAAATCTGGCCAAGGTCAGGGATGAGTGGCAAAACCCAACCAGACAGACATCTCAGAGATGCCTGGGAGAGGCTGGCGCATCTCCCCAGAGCCAGGGCAATGTTATTTCCTGGGGCAATGCTAGTCACAAAGGATGAAAACTGATGACTGAATGTCTGGGCAGGGTGGGAGGCCTTGCCAGGGGGTGGGGGTGGACCGCTGGGAAGGAGGAGGGGCAGAGACTTCACTGGTTTTGCACAGACAAATCTCTTCATTTTCCAGACTGGAAAAAGCTGTTTGGGCTGTGCACATTTGCACAGAGTCACGGTGTTTACTATGCTTCCCGGCTCAACAGATTTCTTTTTGTCATTCAGTCAAACGCAGCTTGTAT